CTCTCTCCCCCCCTCTCTCTCTCTCCCTCCGCAGATAAAATCACTCATCTCGTGTGAAGACAAGCAGATGAAATCTTAAGTCATCTAGTTTAGTCGGCGGGTTCCCAAGCCTGCTGGAAGTGATGGATTTTAAATCAGTTTGTTACAAGACTTTTCCCTCAATTTTTCATGTTTGAATTATACTGGTGCGCTTTTTTCCTTCATATTATTGTTATTTTCCTTTGCGCGGGAGGACTTGCTTTGCCTATCAGACTGTGATCTGAAAGTATGGATGTATTATGGCGTAGTTTGTCGCGATCGATTGCCGAGACGTTTTGGAAGGGCCTGACCAACGTGATCAGAGGATGGGGATTTATGAGTGGACGACTGACCGCTGGGTCCTATGAAATCCATCAACGGCGTGGCCGTATATCTGGCATGTGCTGCTTATCCCTGGGATCTCCAGAAAAGTATTTCCGCCGGTAGATTTGAAACTGATATTGTCTGGAGGGCAGGATTTTTGGGGGTTCTGTTTTTTTACTGATTTCTATTTGTTTGGATTCTTGTTTTGTATTTAGTTGGGGGATTGAGGGGGGATGGAGGTGGAGTTCCTTTACAATGGTGTACATTGATTTGATATCTATTCTTTCAAATCCTTCTTTCGTTAAAGATTTATTCTTGTGTTTTTATTTGGTTCTTCCTTTCTCCCATTATTTCTAGTTCTAGTGAAAATAGTTGGAGTTCGCCACTCGTAGGTTCTTTTTCTTTATTTCTTCTCTGTTGTTTCTGTGTCTGTCTGGCTTTTCTCTCCCTCAAAAATGACCATTAATGTGAGAACTTGCTTCTCTTTTTTCAGGGTCAGAGCTCATTGAGTCTTTCTTTATCTTTATATCAATGTATTCTTGTCCTGGCGTCTGTGGTGTAGAGCTTAGGTGCTTTGCTGTCGCACGCAGAATCTGAGTTCCACACTTGTCGAGCATCTCAGTCTTTCTGCTGGGATGTTGTATCCCTATCAGTCAGGGTTGGCCATGACAGGTAGCTAGGGTCGGAGCCCGCCTGCTAAAAGATTTAAATTGTGTCGATAGGGGCGTAAAACAAATATTGTTTGTATTTTTATCTACGTATTCTCTGTGTTAACATCTCGTCATTGTTTATCTCTCCCACAGTGAGGTATGGAACCTGGTACCGGCCCCCAAAGACACCGCGAGAGGCCCAGGCCATGGGCTACAGGCGGGTCAACGGAATCTGTCAGAGTGAGTACTGCACTAGGAGAATGTTGTCCACACACTTTAAAAAACCGTTGTTGTTGCTGCTGCTGTAGTTGTTGTTTTTACTATTACTGCTTTTGTTGTTGTCGTTGTTCTTGTTGTTTTGTTGATGTTGTTGTTGTTGTTGTTGTCACTCATTTCTACTCTCGGATGCTCTTAAAAACGATTAATGTGGGTGGTTGGCGGGTGCTCTGGTGTGGTTTGCTCCTTCTTTCCTATCAAATAATTATCGTCTTTATCTCTCCTCCTTCTTTTTTGTTTGTTACTCTATTGTGACACCTCAGCAATGTTCGGCATTTATGTGACCTTATTATGATGCAAGTGCCGTAAAATTCTTACTAAAACTAAAACTAAAAAATGTATAATGATATTGTCCAGGCCATTCCCCGTCGACCTTCTATTCAATTTCTCTAAGTAAATTGTTTGTGGTCTATCCCTGGCTTAATTGCCGTTTATTTTCCGTGAGTGAGAGCAAGAAGCTCCAGGAGCGATGTTACTCAAAACACATCTGTAATACATGTTTTAAAACACCATAAGGGGGCTTTCGTGGGCGAGAGCTTACCGTGTTCGCCTCTCATTCAATAGGTCCCAGGTTCGAGTCCAGACAGCGATGGAACATTTTCTTCTAAAAAATGTTCCCCTTCCACCCCCTTTCTTGCTCTCTAACAGTGTTCTGTCATCTGCTTTCGTCTCCACTTTCTGCCCCACCCCCTCATCTCCCTTGCCCCCTCCTCTGAGCTCCTGACTCATTCTGCAGCCTTTCTACTGCTACTCCTTGGCGCCTTCTCCCTGCTGTCTTTCAGCCACACCCCTGATCTTATGGTAGGTAAGATCCAACGTCTAGTCTTTTCGGATAATATGTGCGAAAAATGTCGGAGGTCCCGTGTTCAAGCTGCGCACGTTAAAAATCCCTTGGTGGTCTAAAAGTGATTATAAGAGTAGGTTTCGGACGCCACCCGGGGAAAATTCCAAATTCTCTACCAACTGAAAATGTTTAATGTGTCCCGCGCGCTCATATGACAGTATACAGTTGCGAGTGCCGTAAAACACCCCCCCCCTAAAAATAAAAGCACCACAATCATCATTTTACACTGTTGTTGTTTTCCTTTATTTGTTTATGTTTTACTTTTGGGTGCATTTGGTGGATTTTTGTGATTATCAGCTCTATTTTATTTTCTAAATTATCTTGGAAGGAGTGGTCCAACGACCTGTTCATATCCAGTTGGGCGATGAACTCACTCGAAAACAGATTACAGAGCGGAAGACGAATGAGCGAGATAGCAGACTGAATTATCGACCTGCCTCTAAAGGAAATAAGACGAGCTCAAAACTGTCGTTTCTCGGCCCAGAAAGGGTGTAAAACTGGACTGGCTTCACCATATTTTGACGTGAAGTCGTTTCAAGTGGAGCGCACGCCATCAGAGTGCGTCTAAGCCGGAGGAATGGGAGGTCAAAGTTGTTGGGCAACCCGTGAGCCCCACTCCCCTCCGCTGTAGGCTTGACAAGTTTGGTGGTATCAATTTGGGGTGACCTTCGGCTGGCTTTACGGCTGTTGATTTCGCTCGTTCACTCAGTCTTTTTGACGTCCCGTTTCATACT